CCCTGTGGATGACCTGTCCAATGCCAGCCTGACAAATCCTGTCGTTATCTCAGGGCAGGAAATCTTGACCATTTCCTCCCCAAGGCGCTTTTGGTCGGTGTTTTATCACAGTAACAGAGAGGCAAACTAGGACAGTTGGTAAGTTCTTCAGGGTCAGGATCCCATCCCTAAAACACAGATAAGAAGCAGGGGGTACCAGAGGCACAGGCACCACCACACCAGCTGGAAGAGCAGGCTAGTGAAGGGTCTCCCAGCTGAACTGTTCTGACCTCCAGGCCCCAGGGAACATCCTGTGCCCCTCCCTCTCCCATCCCAGTGCCCGAAAGGCTTCTGGGCCCTGCCCCCAACTCTGGTGGAACTCCACTTCTCTGGTGAAGTCCCCAGCTGTGAGCAGTCCCCCCCCCCCCCACTGCCACCATCCACCGGACTCTGTTCCCAAGAAGACCCACTCTGCCGCCCAAATCCACCTGCCCCAGCATCCCCCCATGGACAGCCCCAGCCCCGACAGCATCTGCAGCCTTTATAGGCACAAACACCACCCACACAAGTTCAAAGGACAGGTCGGGAACAGCCCACACCAGTTGGAAGAACAGACTCCACGGGCACAGGTGAAGTCCAGACCAGCCTGGAAAAAAAAACTGGAAGATACACTAGATTTAGACACCCAGGACCCCACAAACCTCAGCTGAGATAACCTGAAGACCAGCCAATCACCAGAAACCTTGGCCATTCAAGTAAAAAAAAAACTATAGAGAAAATAGATAATAAAGGGACAAAAGCTCCATCCAACGAAGACATCACAAGAATCAGCACCTGTGACTATAATTATCTCAAACCCAGATGGGCAAAATGCCAGTGTAAGAATACATCCAACAACATGAAGGACTCAATTCACCTATAAAAAGACACCCAGTGGTCCTACATAAACAAGACTTGAACATCCCAACTTGGATGAGGCAGGGGAAAACGGCCTTAAAAATAACTTTATGAAGATGATAGAGGTCCTTAAAGAGGAAATTTAAAAAAACTCCCTTAAAGAAATCAAGGAAAAGACAAACAAGAAATTGGAAGAAATCAATGAATGCCTTCAAGAAAACCAAGAAAAAAACAAACAGGTGAAGGTAATAGTTCAAGACTTGAAAGTTGAAATAAAGACAATAAAGAAAACACAAACTGAGGGAATTATGGAAATGAAAACTCTGGGTAAGCAAATGGGAACTACAGAGGCAAGCATAATACCAACATAATGCAAGAGATGAAGGAGAGAATCTCAGATGTTGAAGATATATGATAGAGGAAACAGATTCATTGTACAAAGAAAATGTTAAATCCAAGAAAAATCTTAACACAAAACACCAAGGAAATCTGGGACACCATGAAAAGACCAAACCTAAGAATAATACAGATAGAAGGACAAGCCTAGTTCAAAAGTACAGAAAATATATTCAACAAAATCATAGAAGAAAACTTTCCCAACCGAAAAAAGGACCTGCCTATGAAGGTACAAGAAGCTTACAGAACACCAAATGGACTAGACCAAAAAACAAACAAACAAACCAAAGTACCCTCACCACATAATAATCAAAACACTAAACATACAGAATAAAGAAAGAATATTAAGAACTGCAAAGGAAAAGGGCCAAGTAACATATAAAGGCAGACCTGTCAGAATTATACCCAATATATTAATGGAGACTCTAAATGCCAGAAGGTCCTGGGTAGATGTTTTGCAGACACTAAGAGACCACTGATGCCAGCCCAGACTACTATACCCAGAAAAACTTTCAATAACTATAGATGAACATTTGACAAAATCCAACAGTCCTTCATGATAAAGGTCTTGGAGAGATCAGAGATCCAAGGACTAGGCCTAAACACAATGAAAGCAATACACAGCAAGCCAACACCAAATTAAATGGAGGGAGGTATGAGGGAGAGGGGCCAACTGGTTGGTCCAGGCGCCTCCGCCCAAGGCAGTCGGGGAAGTGCAGCCTCTGGCAGAGTTGCTTTGGGGAGACAAAGAGCAGGACTGCTGATTGGTCCACCGCCCTGCCTGACCAGTTTCTACTTCCCAATCTCATCGAGAAGACGTTAGGACAGGTGTAATAATTATACAATACGTATGACTACTACAGAGGTCGGTCGGTAATACACAGCTGCTGTGAGGACTAGGAATAATGGAAGATAATCTGGGGTTTTGATTTGCAAAGGTTCCAACTCTCTACAGCCACAAGGTTCTCATCAGACAGGATACACATTACAGAGGTGGCTTCCTCAGAGAACTGCAGTTCCCAGAGGCTTAAAAAGAATAAATACGTTTTAAAAGAGGTGTGTCTAGTTCCCCCAGCGCTTACTCTCAGCCACTCGTACTGGGGAGGGTGAGGCAGGAGAACAAAAAACAAAGCAAAGCAAAACAAAACGAGGGGCTTTTCAGCTATCAAGGCCATTGCAGGAGCTATAAGCTCCACTCCCAGCACCCACTTTGGGTGGCTCACAGCTGCTCGTGACTTCAGGGTGATGCCTCTGGCCTCTGAGGACACCTACATTCACGTGCACATACCCATACCTAAGCAGGTACATATGCCTAATTTTAAAGGAAAAAAAAAAAAACCTCAGGAAAGCTACAGAGTGAGTTTCAGGCCAGCCTGGGGACGACGCAGTGAGATGCTGTCTCAAAAGAAGAAGGAAAAGGAAATTTGGAGATGGAACTCAGTAATATAGAGTACTTAGTACGTGGGAGGCTTTGAAATCCACCCCTAACACTGAACCACTGGAAGAAGCAGAGGGCAGAGGAGGGGAGGGAAAGAGAGGGGAGAGGAGGGGGAGGGAGGAGAGGAGAGGGGAGAGGACAGGAGGGAAGGAACGGGGATGAACAGAGAAGAGAAGAGGAAAGGGTAAGGGACTAAAGGAGAGAGAAGTAAGAGGAGCGGGGTAGATGAACACCAGGGAAAACCAACTTCCCTTCCTGCAAGTCTGGGGAGGCAAAGACAGACATCTGCACGCTCACCGGCTCCCCCTGTTGGACATTCATGTGACATTCAACCGCATCTATCCAAGTCCCACCAGCCGCAAAGCAGAGCACGTGACCTGGGTCTCGCCCCGATGTAGGGTGCAATTTGGAGGGTGCCATGACTATGATGCGGTGTAAAACGAGGTGGCGGTGCTCAGTCATCCTTTCTAGGGACTCGTCTCGGGAGACAGAGGACCACACACCAAGAGAGAGATGGGCTTGGGGCAGTCGAGGAACGTCTGAGAGTGGGTCTCTGGCGCCCCCTGCTGGCAGCTGAATTCCATATCTGCGGCTTCCTTTCCTCTTTAAACTGCTGAGCCATCCCTCCAACCCGTGCTTTGAACTTTTGATTCTCCTGCCTCACTCTCCTAAATAGGAGCAGCTAAGATGAAAAGCCCGTAAAACTAGACACATCTGTTTATAATTTATTCACTCATTTTTAGTCTTTGTAAATGTCTGAAGAAGCAGCTTCTGGGTTGAAGATCCTGCAGGCTGACTGACTCGTGAGACTTCTGTGACTGTGCAAGGTTGTAACATTGCAAATTGAGGATGAAATTGAGTTATTTTCAAAGAAAGCATGATGGTTGTGATGCCTCCTGGAGTGAGCCCTCCTGCGTGGTTTCTGGAAGGGAATGATCTGTGGAGAACAGAACCTGGTGATACCTTGGTCTTGGGCTCTGGCTGGGTTAGCCTTGAGCCTCCAAGCATTTATGGGAGCCTTCCAGGTATAAGAGCACATGCATATGTGTGTGTGCCTGTGTGTATGTGTGTATATGTTCATATGGGGGTGTGTGCATTGGGTGGAGACCAGAAGTCCGTATCAAGTGTTTTCCTCTATTACCTTTCATCTTATAGTTTTAATGTGTATATGTGCATATGTGTTGCATGTGCATGTGTTGCATTGCATGTGTGTGGTATATATATGTATATGTGGTGTTTGTGTTACATGGGTGTACATGTACATTGTTGTATGTGCATGTGTGTATGTGTCCTACGTGCATATATGTGGACATGTGTGTACATGAGTGTGTGCAAGTGCATGCATGAAGATCCAGTAGAAGATGTTGGGTGTCCTTCTCTGTCACTCTCTACCTTATCCTTTCTTAAGACAGGATCTCTCACTGAGCCTAGAGTGAGCTAGCAGCCAGCACATCCCAGTGACATGACACCCCTCACCCCCATCTCTGCCCCAACACTGGGGTTACAAGTGACCACATCAGGCCTTTTCTATGAGTCCTGGGGTCTAAACTCAGGTCCTCATGCTCATGGGACTACCTGGCTTCTGGTCCCTTCTGGTCCTGGCGTCTCCCTCGTTCCCACCTCTCTCCTTTTTCTCTAGTTCCTCTTGAGACTAGATGTCTCCCCCATTGGTTCTCTCTGCCTGCTAGCCCCACCTTTCCTTTCTCTGCCTAGTTATTGGCCATTCAGCCCTTTATTAGACCAATCAGGTGCCTTAGGCAGGCCAGGTGAAACAGATGCAACACTTCTTTACATAGTTAAACACACGTCTTTACATCATTAAACAAATGCGGCATAAACAAAAGTAGCACACCTTTACACAGTTAAAGTTGTAGTCCACAGCACAAACAAATATAACACACCTTTACACAGTTAAAGTAATGTTCCACAGCATAAACAAATGTGACACATCTTTGCCTAGTTAAGTATTCCACAACATGGTGGTGTGTGTGTTTAATCTCAGCACTCAACATCAGAGGCAGGTGGATATTTGTGAGTTTAAGGCCAGCCTGGTCTACATAGTGATTCCAGGCCATTCAAGGCTACATAGAGAGACTTTGCCTCAAAACAATAATGTGATGATGATGATGAAAACTAAATCTTAAAAAAGAAAACACAATGTACACGGTACATTTTTGTTCATCATATAAAGAGAAAATTATATAAGTTTACACAGGGGGCTGGAGAGATGGCTCAGTGATTAAGAGCACCTGCTAGTCTTCCAGAGGACTCAAGTTGGGTTCCCAGAACTCACATCAGACAGCTCACAACTGCCTGTAACTCCAGCTCTCCAGTGGATCTGATAATCTCTTCTGGTGCCCATGAGGACTTGCACTCAGATGAAGGTGAATCTTAAAGAAATTGTTTAAACTCTTTTTTTCTTACTGTCCGTGTGCAGGTATGCATGCCAGAAAGCATGTGTGGAGGTCAGAGGGCAATCCGAAGGAGTCCGTTCTCTCTCCTTCCACCTTTACCTGGGTCCCAGAGATTAGACTCCGGCCATCAGCTTAACCTGCTAAGCCACATCCCTAGGTTCAGTAGACATAGGGGGAACCATGCTAAGCAAACCAGCTATGACTTTCGATCTGAAATGTTCCCCACAGGCTCGTGTGTTAACGATCTGCTCCCTGGCAAGTGGCACTATTCTGGGATGCTGTGGAGCCTTCAGGACAGTGGTTCTCAACCTTCCTAATGTGTCTACCCTTCAGTACAGTTCCTTATGTTGTAGTGATGTCTAACCATAAAATCACTTCACTGCTACTTCATAGCTGTAACTTCACTACTGTTAAGAATCATAATGCAAATATCTGATATTCAGGACCCTCAAAGGAGTAACAGCCCACAGGTTGAGAACCACTGCTTTAAGTGGCAGGGCCTGGCTCTAAGAAATAAGGCACTATAGGGCAGGCCTTTGAAGGTCATTTCCTGGCCTCAGATTCCAACTTCCTGAACTTCACAGTGTGATAGCTGTGCTACACGCTCTTAAGGCAGGGAATGTGTCTACCCGGGGGTGACTCTGGTCGCCCTTCCACCCATGCATGGGCTCTGACTCTCTCTGCCCACGGTGATGTCTCCTATAGTAAATGCTAAGTGAAAATTTAAAACCTCAGTGGCAAGCCCAGCGTCCTCTCAAGGGGGCCGCTGCATCTTTCGTCCACTAGATGTCACTGCTGTGGCATTTGTTCCTGGAGCAAGGCGCACTTGTGATCTGCAGTTTAAGGCCAGTCTGAATTTACACAGCAAGGACCCCGCCCTCCCCCGCCATGCACACACACGGTTTTCAGTTTATCAGTTTCTGAGTTTGATGAGTGAGCGGGCAGGGTGAGGAGGCATGAGCAGCCATAACTAGAGGGAGCAGAGGTCGTCTTTTGAAGGTCCCTTGAGTGAAGCGGGAGGTTTCTTGCGTAAAGGTAACGAGTGGGGGCCTACCACCATCTAACCGGTTGGAGCCGGTGTGGAAAAGGTCCTGGGGGTATTCTGCAACAGGCAGCATCCCAGCTAAGGGAACAAGCCACAAGAGTATGTTGTTCTGTCTGCAGCTCTTCTTCATGTGGGGTTGTTTGTCTGGGAATACTGGATTAGGGGTAAGGCTCATGATGGCGGTGGTGGATGAGACTTCCCTGTGTGTGTGTGGGGGGGGGGGGTCATCAAGTGAGGCTCCTAACCTGACCTAGCATGGTCCTTGGCTAGAACCAGCTGCCTGGGATCCCCGCAAACAGGAAAGCACTTCAGACCTGCCTACCAGAGAGTGCAAAGCAAGCCCACCAATGGCGTCAGCCTTCTGGAATTTGATTTCCTTGAGACACTGAGGCTGAAACAAAACTTCAGGCCACATAGTTTATTTGGAACGAAGAGGAAACCAGGAGAGCCCTGATGGAAAGAGGGGTGGGCGACAGATAGAGGGTCCAGTGCCACAGCAGATGACTGGGGTTTCATTCTTTAGGGACACACTATTAACTTCTCCTGGGGCTGGGGCTCACAATTTCAGCTACACCACCTGGTCAGTGAACCCCAGCATCCCATCTGTCTTCCCTCCCAGGGCTCGGGTTAAAGTCATGCACCTGGCTTTATAGACAGGTGCTGGGGATTCGAACTCAGGTCCTCCTGCTTGTGTATCACACACTTTACCCACAGAGCCATCTCCCCAGCTGTGTGTGTGTGTGCGTGTGTGTGTGTGTGTATTCATCTAGACTGCACGTACGTGATAAAAGTATGGTGTTTGTCTTTCTCGGTTTGGTTTATTTCTCTTGATGATTGCCTGCAAAGGCCTGAAGATGCGTCACCATGTCTACACACTGCATCTTTCTCTACCCATTAAACAGTGATTGGGCATCTTGGCTGGTCCTACATCTTGGCTACATTGTGCACCGCATGATCATAGAAACGTGATCACAGGAACAGTTCTAGAATAAGTGGGATATTTAGTGTACAGAAGAGGCTGGGAGTGGAGACTTCATAGCTGAGTGTACACACACACACACACACACACACACACATGCGCGCGCGCACATGGCTGAGCTCTTCAGTTACTTTGAGAGTTGTTTTATAATGTAAGCCAGCCCTCATAATATGTGCATATATAGAGAGATATAGATGGGTTGACCTATTTGTTTTTTAAACAAAGTCTCACCCTGTGGAGCAGGCTAACCTTAAACTGGTGATCCTCCTGCCTCAGCCTCCTAATCATGTTCAGCTTTCCTTTCCTTCCTTGTTTCCTCTCCTTCCCCCTCCCCTCTGCACAGCACACTCGTGGGCTCAACACCTGTGCATAGCTGGGATGACAGGTGTGCGACATCACATCTGGTGTGTCTTGCCCCCAGTGTGCCCTCTGCCTTTCCACCTCTGCCCAGAGTCGAAGCAGCACGTGATTGGTGCAGCAGGAATGAGGGCAGTCTAAAGAGACACTTGCTTCCCCATCCGACTGGCAGACAACCGAGAGAGTGGACCCCTCCAGGCAATGTGAATCTCCCCAGGAATCTCACCCTGGGAGAAGGAAGAGGCACCAGACAGAGGACACCTCCTGGGAAGAGACACACAGAGCTATGATAGCTTCCACAGTACTGGGTGAGACTCACTGGACCCGACCGCTCCTTGGTCAGAACTATTAGGCGCACATACCTCCAGCTCTCTACTGAAGCTTTAATTTTACTTCAGGAGCCCAAAGACAGACTTGAGGGGGTGTCTTGGTTAGGGTTTCCATTGCTGCAAAGAGATACCATGGCCACGGTAACACTTACAGGAAAACTTTAAACCAGGGCTGGTTTACAGTTCAGAGATCCTGTCCATTGTGGTCGTGGTGTGACGTGGCAGCATGCAGGCAGACATGATGCTGGAGAAGGAGCTGACAGCTCTACTTCTGGATCCTCAGGCAGCAGGAAGAGACAGTGGCATGCTGTCCAGGCTTGAGTATCTGACACCTCAAAGCCCACCACTAGCGGCACACTTCCTCCAAAAAGCCACACCCACTCCAACAAGGTCACACCTCCTAAAAGTGCTACTCCCTATGGGCCTATGGGGGTCATTTTTATTTATTCAAACCACCATGGGGCGGGGGATGGGAGAGGTTGTCACCAGATCTTTTTTATCCCTCTTCCCAGAGTGTCCACATTGAATAAATCTCCCCTTTCTACTGCTTCCCATCACTAAGCATGGCTCTGTTAATCGGCTAATTAACGATATGGATTGGGGCATAGGCAGTGATCCTTAAGTTCAGTATTAAGCACACAGTCGTGGCCATATAGAGCACTTCACCATAGGCTTCCCAGCCTCCAGAACCAAGCACTAGACAGCATCTCTTTTCGTCATCACAAGCTTTCCCGTCTGTGACAGTAACAAGACTAGGACACAAGGTGTACTAAGAGCAGTCTAACGGCATCAGATACTTTGGAGGTTCTCTGTCTTCAATTTCTGAAAGTACAACCACGGAGAATCGAGGAGGAGGGTGTGCCCACCCCCATTAGAAATGGATGACAGAGTCTCAGGCAATGGGTGAATCAGAGTCGGCTGGGCCACGTGTATGACTCAGGCAGACCTGAGACACTCTGTTCTGTTTTCTAAGTAAGAGATGTGGGTGTGGCTTGGAGTGGGTGACTTCTGTCTGAGTCAGAAAACTCTCTCTTGATTTCCCCCATACCAGCCTTTTTCTAGTGGGCCACCAACCGGCTCCCAAATCATGACATGGAGACTTCGTATTAGTTACGAATAGCCAGCATAGCTTAGGCTCACTTCTGGTTAGCTCTCTTTAACTTAAATTAACCTGTTTCTCTTTATCTACCTTTGACCTCGGGGCTTTTTACCACCCCCCTCCCCACCCCTCACTTCCTGCTTCCTCTAGTAGTGTCTGTCTGGGGGCTGCCTGGATCCTAACTCCAGACATGTCCCTCATTCTCTACATTCCTCCTTCTATTTATTCTCGCTGCCCTCCAGCCCCGCCTATCCCCTCTCTCGTTCTGCTTTTTATTAAACCAATCAGGTGCCTTAGGCAGGCAAGGTGAAACAAATGTAACACATCTTTACATCCTTAACAAAGGCAGCAGAAACAGATGTAACCCATCTTGCCCCAGTTAAAGTGATATTTAACAACATGCCTTGGATCTTGGGGCTGGGCCGTCCCATCTTAAGGCACTCCAGCATTTGTACATGGTAGGTTTGGGCAGCACAAACGTAGCACAGTCTAACAAACCAGGCATTTATTAGATTCAGGGGTTGGGTTCAGAGCACAGCCCGCATCTCTCCAGCTGACTTCCTTCTGGTCCTGAAGGGCTTGCAATCCCAGCACTCAAGACCATTGACACCCCCAGAACCTGGCATTTCCATGTTGGGCACAGAAGAATGGTGACCCCTACATGATAGAAGGGGACCAAGACCAAAGACTAAGAGAGGCCAAGGGCAGGTTCTCAGGCCTGGGGTGCAGGCGGAATCTTTCTCACTGTGTCCCCAGAGGTTTGAGGGGGCTGAGATTCATGGGCAGGGACGGTGGAGGTGGCTCATCAGGTAGAAACCTGACCATCCGAGTTCCACTCCCATGACCCACATAGTAGGGGGGGGAAGGTTTCTCAAAAGTTGTCCTATGACCTCCACTCACATGCACACACATATAATAAATAGAAATATAGATGGTAGATAGACGATAGATAGATAATAGAGATGATAGGAGAGGGGGAGGGAGCGAGAGAGGGGGGGGGCGAGAGAGAGATGAGAAACTGCATAAGGCAGTGTGAAGATCAAGGTGTATCAGAGGACATGGTTCTGCAATTGGTAAGCCCTGATGCCAGAAGACATATCACATTGTGTTCCAGTGCTCCAATCTAGGCTAACCAAAGATATTCTCTCTCTGCTTTGGGCTGAAAACTGGCTAAAGCTATCTCCTAGCCTCCCTGAAGTTATATCTGCAACCTGGAATTCTGATTAGCCTCAAGTGTTAAGTTTTATTTAGCAACTGCATTAGATAAAAATTTCCAAAGCTCAGGTAGCGAAATGAAGCAAGAAGCAGTGATATCCTGGAATCAGCATTTCCAACCCTGAGCTTGGCCACAAGCAGCCCCCTGACTCAGAACAGGAGGGTGGATTCCGCAATGACAGCTCTGTACCACCAGAGGGCTCTCAGCGCGCGGCGTACAAATCCACGGGAGCTATCGGTAGGGGGCGCTCGCCGCCTACAGGCAGTTCCCCAAGCAGGCCAGAGAGACTCGTTGTGTAACCCTCAGATAAGCACCACATCTTTCTAACTTTTATGTTTCGACTGCAAAAAATCCGATCTCAGGACCGTGATTTTCTGAGTCTCTGGGAAGACCTAAGGAGAGTTTTGGATGAAGGCCATCTCAGGAGTAAAAGGAAAGAAAGGAAGAAAAGAAAGGGGAAGAAAGCGGGGAGTGGGGATCCACTCCAGTCACTTAGGCTACTTGGAGGTCTGAGATTGAGGATTCCAAGCTAAAGGCCAGCCTGAGCAATTTATAGTCCCCTACCTCATCCTCCACCCCCGCCGGCTAGGCCTAAGGGTGTGGCTCCGCAGTAAGGGGTTTGCCTAACGTGAACAAGGCCCTGAGTTTGATTTTCCACCTCTGCCAAATAAAACAGAAGCGGGACAGAAGATGCCTCCATCAAAACTCCAACCCTGACATTGAGTGGTGGTGCTCACCTGTCACCCCCGTTATGGTAAAGCATGAGGAACCCTGGCACACATGGGGACAAACACGCCAGGCAGACAGAGCTTAGCTGAGAAATTTTATTGGGAAGGGAGAAGGAAAGAGAAAAGAGGTAAAGAGACACAGAGGGAGGACCGAAGAGAAGAGGGAGACAGGAACAGCCCTGCCTGCCCCGGGAACCCCGGGAAAGAGCAGTAAAGAGAGGAGAGAGAGCAGAAAGGGAGCGAACGTGGGAGGGTCTGTCTTTTAAAGGGGTCCTTCGCACCTGCGTGCAGACATTGCAACCATGGAACCCTGGGCTGACACCCCAGGGGACCCGGCAGGCCAGCAGAATGCCGTAATCCTTACAACCCTGGCATTCGGGCTTGGGGAAGAAGGAAACAGTGAGATCAAGGCCAGCCTGGGCTACATAGGAAGGTCCTGTTTCAAACTACAATAAAATTGCACTCCTGGCAAAGCCCCTTATCGTGAAGATGCAGCGGCGACTCTGGGAGCTCCTTTGTAAGGCTTTCCATTTGTCCCCCTCCCCCATCATTTACCATCTCCCCCCCTCAGTTCTGCACAGCAGGGGCAAACAGATCCAGTCCTGATGCCAGAGAAGCCCCTCTATAGTTTGGTCCCGCCATGGACTCCCTGGCCTTAGTTTTCCCACTAAAATAAAACAAAAAACCAACTCCATTGATTTTTGCATTTTCCCCCCTCTGGCATTTCAAATAGTCAGGGTTCTAACATTCCCCCAGCCCAGACATTAGCAGTGCCAGGGGAGCTTTAAAATATTATGGCCTAGCCACTCCCCCACCCCCCTCCCTGCAGGGCAGAGGTAATTGGTCTGCAGTGAAGCAATGTCTTATAAAAGCTCCCCGGGGTGACTTGAATGCACCCCTCAGTTCAGAACCTCTGGCGTCTGATTCCCCTGCTGGGAGTTCTGCAAGCCAGTGAGTCCCTGTCCAATATATCTCCAGTGTGGAAAAAAACAGGCTGGGATGAATGCCAGGAGCAGGGCATTTGGAGGGGGGCAGTGGGCCAGTCTCCAGTGCACCCCAAAGTAAAGTTTGCATCCACCAGACAGTTGTGGATTGGGTCTTTCTCCCTGAGATTTAGGTTTTTCACTTTGACACTGGCAGGTACAAGAAATCAATCAGCTTGCCGGAGTTAATCCTCTCCTTCCAGCATGTGGCTTCCAGAGTTCAACATCAAGTCACCAAACTTGCCTTACAAGCCCCTCTCTCTGCCCATGAAGCCATCTTGCTAGCCTTTATTTCATTTCTGAGATAGGGTCTCCTATAGCTCAGATTGGCCTCAAACTTGATATGTAGTGGACACTGGCCTTGAACTTCTGATCCTTCTGCACCATGCCTATTTTATGTGGGGCTGGGAATGGAACCCAGGGCTTCTGCAGGGACTCTGCCTGGGGAGCTGGACCCCATAGCATTGATCCTGAGTGTCTATAGTGAGAAGTAGCTGTAAACGTATTCTTGAGTCATTGGATATGTGTGAACGTGCAATTGTCATAAAAACACATAGAAATTTCTCCAGGTTCCCTCAGAACAATGCTGAGGGTCCCACACTCCAGAGAGGAACCAAGGGCCCACTCTGGTCACACTGATCCAGCTAGAGACATTTTTATGGGTTTTGTTATTCTACTTTCTGGGGGTTGTGTGTTTTTAGGTGTGTGTGTGTGTGTGTGTGTGTGTGTGTGTGTGTGTGTGTGTGTGTGTGTGTGTGTGTGTGTGCTTAAACCCCAGGGTAGGAAATTCAACCATCTTTTATTCTAAGAGTCCAGTGAAGAAAGTTCCCTGCAATGATAGATTATTTGACTTTTCATTTCTTAATGATAGACTGCTGGACTTTTCATCTCTTGGGCAATATCGGCTCCACTTTGCGTGGGCTGAGCAGAGAGAGACTTTTCTTGCCAATGGGCCTGGCTTTAAGAGGGACAGCTGACCTTGGAGTATGAGGGACTCAAAACAATCACGCTTGCAGAAGTTGCTGACGTCAGGGCTGTGTCCCAAAATGGCAGAGAAAACACCAAGGGAGTTAAAAAAAAAACCACATGAGATCAGCTTCACTTCAGAGGTCACAGTTCCTGGAACTCATGTAGGAAAACAAAGTTTTGGCGATGAGTGGGTTCACTAACTGGATGAAGGTCACGGTTAGCTACGTGTGTGCTGGCCAGTGGGAGACTGATGCCACAGTGTAGACTGCGTGAGGTATTCAGAGGACTTAAGACGACACTGTACCAGTATCCTCAATTCACAACGAGTTGAGCTTTGTCTTGTCTGAGCCCTGTCCTTGGAACTTACTGAGACAGGTCCTTGCTATGTAGGTCTTGGGATCTTGGGGTTCACTATGTAGCCTCAGTTGGTCCAAGTCTATGGTCCTCCAGCCTGCTTCTCCAAAAATGTATATCCAGCCCTTGGGGTGAAGGGGTGATTTTATGGCTGTTACCAGGGTTGTTGGGGTCAGAGGCCAGGCCAGGCAGCCCTAACAAGCCAGGTTTGACCACTTACCTCAATAGGCCATTTAAACAGACTTGTAAGAATGAAATGCAGAGAATAGACATTTATCCAGAGTCCCACGCTCAGAAGAGGAACAAGGAGGCCCAGTGATACCACCAAGTTCTGGGTCCTGACATAAGATTTAGATTTAAATAGAAGGCAAGAGGGCTGGGTAGATAGATTAATGGGTAAGAGCATTTGCTGCACAAGCATGCATGCACGTGGCCGTGAGTTCAAATCCCTAGCACTCAAGAAACAAAAGCCGGGCATGTTCACACTGGTGCCTATTGCTTACAGGGCTGTGTGGGGAGTACTCTGGGGCTTGCTGGCTGTCAGCTGAGCTCCTAAGTTCAGTGAGAGACTCTGTCTCAAGGGAATAAGGGAGGGAATGGTAGAACAGGACACTAGATATTGTCCTCTGACTTCCAAAGGCATGTACAGGCATTCCTGCATACACAGATGTGCACACACACACACACACACACACACACACACACAAAGAGCTTACAAAGCTAAGCAGTTCTTGGCCAGGTGTGGCCCCTCCCATCGCTGGCCCATCTTTACCGCAGCTCTAGTCTCTCCTGACAATTTTCAGAACAGTGTGAAATATCCTCCTGGGAGACAAGCTCACCCTCTGGCTGACACGAGGCATCAGCCTTTTCCTTCTCCAGCTTGAGATTCCCCGGGGGGGGGAATGCCAATTCCCTGGGGTCCACTGTTTCAATGGTCTGATAACCAAAGGGAGGGCATGTGTCTCTTTAGAATACCCCCTGCCCCACGGGGAGGCTTACCCAGCTCCCTCCTCTGTCTGCCTGGATGCCCTGAGTCTTTGTCTCCACCTTGGTAAGCCTGTGAACACAGGGAGTCTGAGAGCTTCCACAGGCTACATAAGCTCTTGTCTCCAAACAAACAAGTAAGCATAAATCTGGGACCAAGAGGCGTGCCTATTCAATCCCAGAACTGGGGAGACATTCTTGGCTTACATATCAAGTTCAAAGGCTGCCTCAATTACATCAGACCCTGTTTCTGCAAATAGATGAAATAAACAGACTCAAACTGTTCTGGTTGGTTGCAGTTCCTGCTAGTAGCTGCTTCCTCCCCCTCCTCCTGCTTCCAGATCTGCTATGACGTGAAGAGACTCTTCACACACCGCCGCTGTCACGCTAATGTTCCACTCCAACACACAGGGCTGTGCAACCAAAGACCGAGACCTCTGAAACCAAGAGCCAAACAAAACTCTCTCCCTAAAGTTGTCTCTGTCAGGTGTCTTGGTGACACCGACACCAAAGTCGTGAACACAAGGCCCGATTGGCTAGCTCCCTCCCCCTCCTCCATCTTCCCGCATGCGCTCCACTCCCCACGGGGTAATCATGTCTCCCATGGATTCATGTAGCCTCTTCAGGCCATGCCTCTGTATCCTCACATACGTTGATCCTCTGCCTGGTGGTCACTGGGCCTGCCTGTCTTTCCAGGAAAGTTTGACTGTGGGTAATCTGTCATAGTTAGTTCATTTAGTGTGTGTGTGTGTGTGTGTGTGTGTGTGTGTGTGTGTGTGTGTGTGTGGAGGGGGGTGTCACATTCTCACCCTGGTTTATATGTGGTTAGAAGACACACTTACATGAGTTGGTTCTCTCTCCTTTCACGTGTGCATCCTGAGGATTGAACTCAGATCATCAGGCTTGGCAGCAAGGGCCTTAACCCACGGAGTCACCTCGCTGGCCCTCCGCCCTATTACTTGAGACATATCTCTCACTGACCCTGAAGCTCATCAGCTCACCCAGACTACCTGGCCATTGAGCCCCGGGTACACTCCTATCTCCGTCTCCTGAGAGTGCAAATTACAGGCGTGTGCCACTAAGCCCTCTCCTTTTTGTTTTAGGAGCTGGGGATGGCTCAGGTCCTCATGTTTACACAGGCATTTTACTGGCTGAGTCATCTCCCCAGGCCCAAAATTCCCTTAATTGCCATGTCTGCTCCGAAGCCAGGAGACCCATCCCATCTCCTATCGTATGCTCCGCCATCCTCAGCTTATTTTCCGTGGCCAATCATCTCGCTTCAGAGTCCCTCTGCTCAACTGGCTCTGTCACCTTCTCCGTCCGATGCTTCTTAGAGATGTTGAACTGTCACCTATATGGGGCCCCAGGAACAAATCTCAAGACCCACTGAAAATCAGATCATAAATAATGAACCGACTCTCTTGTCAAAAGGAAACAAAAAAAGAACTTTTATTTTTTCTATTGCATAAATAATGGTAAATTAGACTCTTTTTAAATAAGATTATATATTTACAGACAAGTTTGGTTACAGAAAACGTCTGGCACATATATGGCAGTCATTTTCCCTTTATACAGTAAGATAACATGTTAATAATATCGCTTCATTGGATCACTTAAGTTGCATGCCAAGTTCATTTATAGTAATATTTACATTTGATATAAAGATATTTTTTTATTTCACTAACCTGCTGTCTCACCACTTAATAGCAGAAAATCACCAACTCACACTAAATGAAGGAAACAAAACAAAACAAAAGAATGTAAATGAGGTAACATGGGAAACTGAGATGCATGATTGACACCTGACTGGAACATTCTGGAAGGAGAGGCAAGAAGCTCCTGTTTAGAACAGTCTTTACCTGTGCTTCTGAGACACCCAGCATGTAGGGGTTCGAATCCCAGCCATTTACATCTGTGCTTTGAGAATCAGGTTAGGTTAACGGTCTGTTCCCACCCTCTCCGGAGGACCACAGTTCTCCCACATTTGGCAGGACCAGACTTTCAGATTTTGAATGGCTTCCATGAATATGACCTGGGGTTAGTCCTTGGGCAATTAGCTTCTTCCTGAATTCAGAATCTGGGAAGAGAAATCAATCCCCACTCTGAGGAGTCACTGGAGAGCCCCCTAAGGTTTCCTCAGAGTCCCCGATCTATGTGAACTTGGACCAGGGAGCTGAGAGCAAGTCTTTTCAGGGAAGAACACTGGGGTTGCCTGTGAACACTGACTAGATCTCAGGCTGCTTCAAGAATCAGGAACTAGCCAGGGGGGGTGGTGACACACAACTTTAATCCCAGCACTCAGGAGGCAAAGGCAGGCAGATCTCTGTGAGTTCAAGGCCAGCCTGGTCTACAGAGCGAGTTTCAGGACAGCTGTGGGCTACATAGAGGAACCCTGTCTTGGAAAAACAAAAAAGAATCAGGAGCTAGGAGTTTATTATTCCCATTGTTTTGTGAGGTCTCACGCTGCAGCTCAGGCTGACCTTGAACTCACTGTGTAGCCCAGGCTGCTCTAACTTGCCACACTCTTCCTGCCTCTGCCTCTCGTGTTTTGGGACTGCAGGTGTATGCCACTATACCTGGCTCACACAGGCTCTGGGGTAGGCATGAGGAAGAAGGGACAAAGACTTGGGTACCTGGGAGCTGTTCTTCCTCACCCGTGTCTCTTGCTATGGTTGGAGCATTGCTGTGGCAGGCACCTTTGTCCAGCTCCTCTCGCTCCAGCTTCAGAATGCTGCTGGTCCTGCACCCCGGACTCGCCACCCGACACTCGTTAGCGGTGGTGACTTCCTGCCTTCTGTGGAATTATGAATGATTCCAAGCCAGGACCACATCCACTTGAACTGCTCCAGAGTCCAGTGGCCAGGGCGAAAGACGGCAATAATGGGGAAAGCGTGGCTGGATGTGAGTCCTTTATTTGGGGAGTTTCCAGTTAGGCATTCTTAGGCAGACTTGGGGAGTAGCATATTTTGGGAATCAACCTATAGACTCATGAATTTAGACGCCATGTGACCTTTATCCAGGGGACCAAATCTTCATTTTTCAGGCTCTATTTTCATTCCAAGGAGACACAAAAGCTCATCTTGACTCAGCAAGCTTTTGGGCAACGAACAAAAAAAAAAGTCTCTCACCTGTGTGACATGTGACATGTTGACTGGGAACCAGAGGGCGCCAAAAGGAGCACCCAGCTGCCTCTTGGGACTCATGTCACAAAACAAGCTACCACCCATGAACGATGCAACACACAGGACTTCTGAGTCCTCTCTACTGGAGATATCTTTTCCCCCGGCTCCTAGCAGCAAGGATCCTATTTCCGGTGCTCTTCCCAAGTGATAATGCTGTCTCCTTTGGTTTTTCTATTCTGTTTTCAGGCCCCCGTTCACAGGTCTCAGAGTGTCAGGCAAGGCATGCTGGGGTGGGCAGGGGTCAGCATCCACACAGAGTGAGTACTTGCTTCCTATTGGCGTCCACAGAGCTTGTAACTGGGAACACGCTGATAGGCAGTCCCTTGGACATTTCAAAGTAGGCCAGATATACAAGGCCATGTATGTATGTATGTATGTATGTATGTATCCTTTAAAAACTATCTCTGTCAAGTCCAAGGATGGAGCAAACATCCCGGTGAAATCTGCATTCTCTGAATTAGCTGGAAAATTCTAGTCCCTGACTCCTTTCAGTTAGATACCCCCCTCATCGTGTGTGTGTGTGTGTGTGTGTGTGTGTGTGTGTGTGTGTGTGTGTGTGTATGTCCTCACATGTAACTCAGTTCAACTTGTTCTGTAGAAGAGGGCGACCTTGAACTCCTATTCTGAGTTCCTGCACCTCCCAACTTCTGGGATTATAGGTATGCCCACTACCCTTGGTTTCATAAGGACTGGTTTGGAAGCCAAGACATCCCACCTGAGGAAAAGGTTGACCCTATGTCCAGAACATGGGGTGTCCTCAGTAGACAAACTAGCCAAGATAGGTGCTGAGCAAGTAATGTTGAGGTACAGGGGGCTGTTTTGTGCATCGGGGGAAAAATGATTTTTCTTTCCCCTTTGAGTGGGAAGGAATCTCATTCCGTTAGCTCATGCTAGACCAGATCTCTGTATGTAGCCCAGGCTTGCCTAGAACTTAACTATGTAACTCAGACTGGCCTCGAACTTGCTCTACAATCCAGGCAGATGTTAAACTTCAACCCTTCATCCTCAGTTTGTCAAGTTCCAGGAATTACAAGCATGCTTTCCCATATCTGGCTGAATCAAGCATTCTTTGTGGTATTTTTAAATTAGAGCCAATATTAAATATAAACCATTGGCGTTAACACGACGGTAATGCATTTGCAGTGAGCATAGGATCCAAAGAGAAGGCTTAGTTAGCTGGTATGTCTGCCCCCTTCCTCCAAACCAAACTGCATGTGGCAAGGCCACATAGCTGAGAATAGTCCCCTGAGTGTTAGTCAAAGTGCGGGTGGAATGAAGCTAAGCAATTGTGACATTTACATGATCATGGGGATAGGGACTGGATGAGGTGGCCTAGCTTCTCCTCTATTCTGTCCTGACTATAAATAATTCAAGTTAAAAACTCTAATGACTGCATAGCTCTTCTATTTCGAATGAATTCTCTCCTCGTGGAGGAGGGGAGCCAGGGAATCAATGTGGACGGAAGGAATACGGTTGTGAGTTCTGGACTCGCAGACTAGTAGGGCATCCTGGAAGAGGCCAGTGGAAAAAACAACACTCGTCTAAAGTTGTTTGGGGGGATGGATGCTTCCCAGGTCATAGAAACAGTATGCGTCAAAGTCTAGAAGATCCATCGGAGCGCATCAGTACCGTTATCATAGAATCATATAAAAATAAGGACCCTTTGCACAAGAAGGTTCCAGACTCTCTGCATATCTTAGGTAACAGGGTAGATAGGGTAGTTGTGGACCTTTAGTGATAGAGTGTAGGGACATGACCTAATATGCTTTGAGGTACAAAACTTAGCACTTTCATCAAGGGCATACAAGGAAACAGTTCCACATACAACAGGCAACCAGACACAGCCTAGTCAACCCAACCCAGGAAGTACCAGTCACCTCTTCATCTTCTGATGATGATTTCATAGGCTCCTGTGGACACCACCAGTCTTAGATCCAAAATCAACGTATACAACACTCTTCAATTTATGACCTGAGTCTGGACTTGAGCCCATTGGAAGAGACTGCAATAAAAGCCAGGCATTTCTCTCCCTGCTCCTAGGTTTTCCAATCACTTCTGAGAGTCCATCGACTGGGACTGGGAGGTCTGGGACTAATGGCTGGGGGGCAGGAGGGATGCTCTCCTCAACGCCGGCTGCCATTCTGTTTTTGATCCCATTCTTTCAGATACTAGACCACTTGTCATGTAAACTTTGAGATAGGAGCAGGTATGGAAGATGCCTAGATGTCCTGGTCTCTGCATATCCAAGTCACCCAAAACTTCCTGCAATCACTGAGCTTGCACAAGAACGCTTGAGAACCGCAAGTGCACCTCAGTTCCTATTTCTAGCTCCCAGAAAGGAAAGTCTCAACAAACAAGCAAACGCCTTTAAAGACGGCAAGCTTAAAGTGTGTTTTTGCCTGCCAAATGATAGGGTGGTCTTATTCCTCCCATGTGTAGAGAGTCTTGTTCAGGGGAGTGGGATAAAGGATAGAGGTGAGGAGGCTACCCACACAGGGCTTAACTCCTTTTCTCCTGAGTTGGGGGAAGAGCAAGTTCAAATACAATAGGAAAAGGCAAGGAAGCCATGCATATTCTCAGAGGTTAATTCCCCATCTCAGCAGGAGATGGGTTCTGGGGGTCATAGTGCAGGCGGGTAGGACCTAGAGTGCTCTTTAAGAAAGTGTTCCCTGTGTTTGTACCTTGGCAAACTCAGGGTGGATGCAATGTTTCCATGGCAACCTCTTATAGAGGTCACATGGAACTTGCACACATTCTGGAAGCCATTGGTAACAGTTCCATGGTGGAGTCCCATCTGGGATTCCATCTACATCCGGGACAGTGAGGGGACAGCTTGTTTGAAGGTTACAGGGTCCAGAGTCAGCTTGTCTTTCTGTCCCAGGTCAAATGCTGTCCTAGTGTCTGTCATTCGTGGAGGGCTGTGGGCGTGGAGCTGGGCTGGTAGCAAGAATGAGCCGGTCGCCGAGTCACCTCATGGCTGGGCAGCCTCTGTCACTGACAAGGCAGCAAAGACTGAGGCCCCTGCCTCTCCTACAGAGGGCACGTCAGCTGCACATGGAGGGCTTCCCTTGAGCATGGGAGGCAGAACTTTCTGGAACCATCAGCCAACCAGCTCCTCCTCAGTTACTGTCATGAGGATGTTGGATGGCCATGAACCTCAGGATAGCATTTGTGTGAGCTGGGAGTGGGGCTGTATGGGAAGAAGCCCAACACCCTAAATACATCAAAGACAAATAATACAAGCAAACCAGCTAGAGGGCAGGCCACCTAAGCACACTCTCAGCCCCTTGCGTCTAAGGGACATCCCTAGACCTGGTTTCCTTCACTGCTGCATTCAGCTGCTGGGTGCCTCAGACGAGGAGACTGCTCGGGGGCTAACTTCTGGGCCATCGGAGGGAATCTGCTGGTTTGTTTCCTGTTGTCCCTTCTGCACAATTGGGAGGGATGCAGGAGGTTTCTGTTCTTTTCCCTTTCTTTCTTTTTTTAAGGGAGGGGACGCTCATGCCCTTGTAGGAAGCAGGCTTTTTATCACATCTCTGCTGAAGGAATCTAGACTCTTCGTCTTTGGGGACCGGCCTCCTTCAGTATGGGACAGGTGGTACAGGAAAGCAACATTTGAAGAAATCTTGATGCTCCACCTTGGTAGCTCAGCTCGGCTGCGGCACGGCATCGGCCCCCTTCGGGTCCTTAGAGTCCTACACTTCCAGAAGCATTCACCTGGTTTGTGCTCCCAGGGGGATGCAGTTTGGAGGTCCAAGCGTCAGCAAGTGATAGGGAAGCATGCTGCTGCCAGCTAGGCTTGCTTTCCTGCCCGCATCGGCAGAGAGAGGGCAACTGCCCCAGGAAGGATCTAAGGGGGGTGGGAAGTTGTGCAGTGTATTAATATTCTGTGTGTCTACCTGCTCTAGTTCAGGAGTCTGGTCCTAAGGGGACCATGGTGACTCAGCCTAGGGAAGTAACAGAGAGGGCGGGTTTGCAGAGGGCACCTTAAGAAAGGAAGCAGGCTGCTGCCTGGATGTGCCAGACCCCAGGCAGTTTGATGAAGTGACTCTGTGCCCCCTCGGGCTCTTGGGACCTCCGACTTGCTCTCTTTTCCCTATGCTATGGCTCAAACCTAGTTTGACTTGTGCTCTTGGTGAATATTCACACGCTAAAATATCTGCAGCTGCCCTCCACACTACCGCACAGAGTGCTTGTAGAGGTGAGCTAAAGGAAGACCCTATAAGGAGACCTTGCATGATACAAGTCTAAGGCGGCAGTAACGGGGGGGGGGGGGGGGGGGATATGCATCGCACCAAAAAGACCCTACTCGGCTGCATGGAGAGACAGAGAGCAAAGCTGCTGGCGCCTCAATGTGGCTGGAGGATAGTCAGGGAGCTCCTGGCTGAGATCTGAGGAAGAAGGAGCGGGACAATTCCACTACAAAAATAACGACTTGGGCTCAGAAAAAAATGCAAAGGGAATTAGCACATCTACAGAAGACAGGCAATCTGACCACTCGCGCTTGAGTTCATAGTGAATCTAGGGAAACTCAAAGAAATGAGAGCCTTGGCCTGCTACTAAAGACAGACCCAGACATTGAGCTCTCCACCCCAACAGAAGAGTCCTGTGATCAGGACTTAAGTCTCCCTGTTCTATCAGCCACGCCCATTAACATCTCTCCCTTTTGAATGAGTCACTGGCACAATCTGTCATGAGCTACTAAGCAAAATACAGCAACTGGATCCCAAAGCCTTTCTGTTCCAGGTTCTAAGTCGCTTTCTCTTAGCCGAGGAAAGACTCACTAATAAAGTCCGAGATGAGGCACACCAACCCTAACTCACAGATGTTGTCTAGTATGGCGACTGGGAGGGGCTCTCTTATTTCGGTTGCATCCTCGCCCACCAGGCTCAATCCTTCCCCTGCCCCAGTGGCTTCACCCTCTGCTCCCAAGAAGCAGGGATGGATGTGAGCTAGAGGACCAGTTCCTATCCAAAGTTAACGATCAGGGAAGAATAGCATCAAATGCGGAGAAGTCTCTTGTCTGTCTGTGCATCTGGGCTATAGACACCCAGATTATGATTTTTGTTTTCTCTAACGGTGGTACAGGCAAGAAAGCTGGGAGCCAGGCTCTCTGCAGATTCCAAGATGCTGGTGCGGGATGGACTTCAGAAACCGAAAGCCACGTGCCATGGAAACCAACCGAGAGCGCCCCAGCTCTACCCACAGGAGTCCTGTAGAAAAGGCAATAAGAACAGCAGGGACTGCAAGGAGCTGAGCCCTGCTTAATGGCTTTCCCCCTCATGCCTTGGGGGGAGGGGTCTCCACTGGGTAGAGGAAGGAAGCCAGGGTGAGATGAAAATTCCCCTTTTCTATAGCAACCCAGAGGTCGGCCTCAGCAGGGAGTCTCTGTGGGTCCCCAGGTTGAAAGAATCGGGCATGGAGGGAGGTGAGTGTTGTTCACACCTGTCTTTTCTTTCTTGCTCTCTGATGCCACCACGATACCTGGATGGCTACTGGAAGTCCAAGACGAAAAGAAAACAGTTTGTTTTTTTTCCTCCTTCGGAGTTGCTACTGGCGATTGAAGCAATAATTGAGAACTCCCGGGTATTTATTGCATTGGGAAACAAAACCATGAAAGCATTGAAGACAGCCCTTTAGTGTCCCTGCCAAGGAGATGGAGTTGATCCGTGACCCCGGTTGCAATGCAAACTTGAGTTCTTTACTAAACTGTACCAACTCCTGCATCCATCCATAGGTCCAGATCTCCCGTGTGGAGGAACAGAGTCTGCCCGCGGGGAATGCACATGCGCGGTGAGCTGGCAACGCGGTGTGGCTGGTGCGAGGCTGCTACTCCATGCCGCTCCGCAGGATCTGGTTGGCTGCGATCAGCATGACGCTTATGATGAAGGCCATGGCGAAGGCGCATATGAGGCTCTTGCGGACACAGGTCTGCCGATTCTGTTTCTGTGAATGAACTGGGGTCAGGGTGGGGAGGAGAGAGAACAGAGAGATCTTGAGACAGGTTATATGTTTTCTATACATCACAGGCACTGGTCTAACCAACTCAGATGTTCAGACGTCTAGATAGAATATAGCTACAGAGAGTTTCAGAGACAAAAATGTGTAACATTACAGAAGGAATTTCATAAAAGACACCACCCATTGTCGGCCCTTTTCTGTAACCAATACTAATAAAATAAGGTTTGAAAGCTACCCCACATATTGTATGTGTGTGTATCTTTCTTTTCTTTTCTTTTTTTTTTTTTTTTTTTTTTTTTTGGTTTTTCAGATAGGGCATCTCTGTGGCTTTTGGAGCCTGTCCTGGAACTAGCTCTGTAGACCAGGCTGGTCTCACACTCACAGAGATCCGCCTGCCTCTGCCTCCCAAGAGCTGGGATTAAAGGTGTGCGCCACGACCGCCTGGCATGTTTCTTGTTTGTACTTGTGCACATGGCCATGAAGGCTAGAGAATACCCTCAGGTGTCATTCCTTGGACACTCTCTGCCTTGTTTCTTGAGACAGACTCTTACCAGATGGGAACTTGCCTAGTAGTCTGGGTTGGCTGTGCAGTGAGCCCCAGGGATCCACCTGCCTCTTCCTCCCCCAGAGTACTGGGATTACAAGCCCACACCACCGTGTCTTTGTGAAAATCAGGTTCTCCCACTTGCAAGGCAAGCACGTTACCAAACTGAGCCGGCTCCCCAGTGTTCTTTTGGAGAATCAATTACCTCTCAATAGTGCTACCAGTTGGGGACCAAGTCTTCAACACAGGAGCATCACAAGACACCTCACATCTAAACAGGACATGGTGGGGGACTGATACAAGAGGGGTTGTCTACTTATTATGGAGTGACTGAATCAGGTCTCTGGGAGGGAGTCTGTGAATCCACATCTTAATAAGCACTTCTGGGGACCAGGCAATGTTCATTTGATTTGATAGGCCTGGGTAGAGGTTGAATTGCCAAAGACAAAACCTGTGTGTATGAGTGTGTGTGTGTGTGTGTGTGTGTGTGTGTGTGTGTGTGTGGTGTGGTGTTTATGCTCAGGGTATTGGTATGGTCATACCTTGTTTGTACTCTAACACATAAAGCTTGTATGACGATCAGAGGGCAGCTAGCCACTAGTTAACCATAGAGGTCTGGAGGTCTGTCCAGACAGTCAGGAAGTGATATGACTGGGCAGAGATAAGAATATAAGGTGGGAGGAGACAGGAGCTCCTCCTCAGCTGAGAAGTTGGCAAGGTAAGGTGTGGCTGTGACTTGTTCCTTTGTCTCTCTGATCTTTAAACATTTACCCCTATATCTGACTCTGGGTTTTTATTATTAAGACCAATTAGAACTCGTGCTACGCCATCTTTCAAATTCAGCCATTAAAGAAGATTGGGGACTTGGGATAAGACTTGGTCAGGAAAGTGTTTGCTCTGCAAGTATGAGGACCTGAGTTCGAGCCCCCAGCACCCACATTAAAAAAAAAAAGTTGGTCATGATGGCAAACACAGCTAGAGAGGGAGAGACAGGTAGGTCGTGGGGCCCACTGGCCAGCCAGGGCAGCATACTTGGTGAGCTCCAAACCAGCCAGGTGGACGGCGCCCTGAGAACGATATCTGAGGTTGGCCTGTAGCCTCCATGTTCTTGCTCACCCACGCTGCACACACATACATGTGCACCGTGAAGAGCTGCAAAGCCAGCTGTGGTGCTGTATCCCGGCAATGCCAGGTACTCCAGGGCAGGCAGAGGAACTGTCAGTTTGAGGCACGATTTGGTTACATGATAAGACTCTGTCTCAAAACAACAAAGCATTAAAAAACAAAACCACAACAAAACAAACAAACACACACCCACAACAAACACCTAAACCCCACAAGGAAACAAGGCTGCGAAGAAGGCTCATGGGGAAGGGAGCCTGCCATCTGGTCTGTCCACTAGAGTTTGCTCCTTGAGACCCACATGGCAGAAGGGTGAAAACTAACTCCTGAAAGCTGGGCCCTGAGTGCCACAAAGGCACCCCCCCACACACACACACCACTAACACAATAAATAAGTAAATACATAATGTTTAAATGAAACAGACAGAAGACTGGAAGAAGGAATGGGCCAGCTACGCCTCTTAAGACCATGAAGCGGCCCCAGCATCTCCGGCCGCATAGGGACTCCCCCTGTAGGAATAAGGGACTAAGAAGTAGGAACCAGGCCATGTTTTCAAAGGCAAGATGAGCTTTCCCTGGGAGGAAGGGCCCAAGGGCTTGTCAAGGATCTCTGAAAATTACTGTCAAGCCAGATTCACTGTGCCCCCAGCCGCTGCTCTGGCTCCCTCTCCAATTCACCAGAATTCTTCTTTCCCAGAATCTCCTAAGTCTCCTCTTGTTATTGCTAATCCTCCTGGATCCACCAGGCTCGGGCTTCCCCTGGGTGATTTAGGAGTATTTTTGTGGTTCGATTCTCCACTTACTGATTAACTCTGGGTTTTAAGTTCTTAGCTGGAGGAGGCAGTTTTGTTTGGTGTGGAGATGGGCTTCTTCTAGGAGTGGGCACATGGAAGAAAAAAAAAGATGCCAGCTCCCAGAGAGGGCAAAGGAGATGGTGTTTAAGAAGAAAAGGATGGGATCGGGGATGGGACTCAGCTGGTAGAGAGCTTGCCTAGCATGCGGAGGCCCTGGGCTCCAGCCCCAGTGTGGTGGTGCACACTTGTAAACTCAGCACCCAGGAGGTGCAGACAGGAGGATCGGACGTTCAAGGTCACCGTTGGCTACAAAGCAAGGCTCCATCTACACAGAAAATGAACCAAAAAAAAAAAAAAAAAAAAAAAGGAAATGTGTTTGTGGCTTGTTGAGAACCAGCTAATGTATTCTGAGCCTGTGCCTATGTAGAAATTCTCCTGTCACACTCCTTCCTCAGACACGGCTGAAATCTGCCACAGAAAATGCTGCGGCTGGACCCAGGCGGAAAGCATTCATAAAAACCTTTCTTTTTGAAGGGTACTCAGGAAGCAAGGTAACGGATGACAGGCTTTTATCCCCTGTGTTAAGGTGTGGCTATGAAGTGTCTCCTATACCCTGGTGTGTGTGAACACCCCTGCTGGTGGTGGTGTTTGGGGAACCTTCAGGAGATGGGACTGAGTCACTGGGGGGGGTGTGTGGAATCGAAGTGACACAGAGCCACACTTCCTGTCATGGGTCCTGTTTCCTGATCCTGGCCTACCTAAGCAAGGTCCTTCCTGTATCCAATGATGAGCTGCCTCCATTCCACGCCCCCCCCTTCTGACAGACTGAATTAAACCATGAGACCCCATAAATCTTCCCTGTGAGGATTCAGTCACACAGATGAGAAAGCAGCGTCCTGGCTTCCACTTTGATCTTAGAATCCTTCAAAGCCTGGGGAAGGGAGAGATAAGATGCGCCTGAGAATCCACACAGGCGCGTCCGACCGTGTGACATTGTGAAACAATGCTGTCACCTATAAAGTTCACGCTGCTAGACAGCTGTGCTACTCTGCTGTTGGGTTGGTTTTTTTTTGTTTAAATCACACACCACACCCTAACCCCTACCCCCCACCAAACAATACAATGTTTTAACTAATTTTAGAGTTTTGTGTTGGGCATGCAAGCCGGGCATGCCAAAGCTAGAACAATGTCCTAGAAGCCAAGGAGACCTTCTAGAACATTCTGAGGCCAGAGTAACTTGGAAACCAATCTGAACTGAAGCCTGTAAATCCAACTTGGTACTGGGTGGGAGATCGTTTTGCAGTGAATCCGGAAGTTACCAGAGAGCAGGAATTGTATGGTAGAGCAAAAATATAATGTCTTTTGTGGCTGAACCTAACATTCAATTTCCTTGGGCCTCGATTTCCTTATCTGTAAAATGGGGAATTAATAAGTCACCTCGGGAAGAGATCTAAAGACAGAGGACTCAAGAATATTTCTTGCGCCCAAGTCATGCTGACTCTCCCTTTAAAACACCCAAGTTTGCTTATTGATTTCATATGTGTGGGCGTCGGTGCGTGTGCAAGTGTGTGAACAGCCACCTTGGGGCCTTTCCCTCAGGTGCCACCCACCTTCTTGTGGAGGCGGGGACTTGTCATTTAGCCCCCGTGCTCCAGGGTCTGCAGCGTGGGGACTACAGGTACAGGCCACCATGTCCTTCTTATTTCATGTGGGCTCTGGGGATGGAATTTAGGTCCTTACTCTTGCAAGGCAGATACTGTATAGACTGAGCCATCTCTCCCTGGCCCTAGAACTCACGTCGAGTTACTGGACATCCCTCTGTGAGTTGGCTATTGTGTTTATGTGTGTGGTGTACTCAGACTTGGATCTCACGCGGGCTGGGTGTGGTGTCTTTAGACGGATGCAGGGCCTCTAGTGTGAAACAGCGAAGGCCAATGGCATTTGACAAGTAACAGAGACAGGATTAGAACCCAGGGCTTGCCCCGCCTTGCAAGTTCAAAACCTTTGCATACACTCTCCCTGACCCCCTGCTTGGTGATGGTTAGCAGGTATCAAACACTTAGTGTGGCTGGTAGGAGCCTGAGCCAGGACCAGATGCATTTTTCTTGCTCCTGCCTTAAGGCCTGTCACTGGCAATATTTGCATTGCATTACATTGCATCAAATAAACATTACTGATTCTTAGTGAATATTCCTTTCTTTTTGAGTCCTGGGTGTGGGAACACCAGACCTTGAGCAGAGACCCACTTCCCCTTCTGCCTGGGAGTAGGCAGCTGTAAGACAATGTTTACTAAAAACAATACAATGCCTGGGGGCATTAAGTTCCTGGAAAAGGCCTGCCCACAGAAACCACCCTGACCTCGACCTTGTCCAAAGACTAACCACCTCTTCTGCCACGCTCAGATCAGTTTCTGGGGTCAGAGAGAACCAGCCAGGGTAGAGAGGAGAGCAGAAGCTTCTCTGGTGGGAGCCTTTCTTGGGAAGTTTTCTTGAACCTTTTTGGGGCCTGCTTAAAGTTTTCTTTACATCGTTGAACA